GGGGAATTCTGGGAGTTGAAGTCCACACATCTTAAAGTTGCCAAGTTTGAAAAATACTGGTATATTGTATATAGTCTATCACGTGAAACCCCATACACAGGAGCATGATATACTGTGATATCTGTATCTCTCTAGTCGGAGAACTTAAAGGAAGGTGGACTGTATATACCATTCTGTAGATAAGTACAATGCATGTGATTGGTGAATAATCCTTCCACAGGAAAATACTCATCCCCTCTTTGTCCTCTCCCTACTTGCAGGCATGTCCAGGTTGTTGAAATGTATGGATTTAGCTGGCCAGTAGCTTCCATTTAGTATGCAATGTCTACAGTAGATCTAAAGAATGTAGATGGGAAACTGCAATCCAGCTGCATTCATGCAGCTGTTCTCTAGGCAGTGGCAGGTTCACAGCAGATTTAAACAGGAAGAAAGTGGTGTGGGTGCTAGATTTTTTTTTTAGGGCTGCAGAAATCCAGGTGACCACTAGATGGCAGGACCAAGATTCTGAAAACTCTGGGCTACCTTCTGATCGTCCCCAGCATTGTTGCATCTGGGATATCAATAGCTCTAGGTATACACCAGGACAAAGACTGAAACCAGACACACATGTGTTAGGAGACAGTTTGGATGGCAATGCAATTTGAAGCTTTCATTAGTGCTACAAACTGTTTATTACTTTTATGGTAACCTGAGTAGGTTGTTAATGTTCATAAGTGGAGAACAGAATGACCAATAGGGATTCTGCGTGGAAGAAGACTTCTCACGGGCCATAATTGGGCAAAAATAATTACCCAGTTAGATTTGAACGCCCTGGTTTCCTAGATAAAAGCATGGAAGTTGCAAAAACTTTCTAAACTAAATTTTAACAGATACATTGTGCTCCAGATTTGTTTTATTGTTGGCCGTGTGTCTAGTTCCACCTGAGTAGATCAAAGTGATTTTCAATATAATTATGTATGCATTGTGGAGTTGAGTATTATAGCTAGCCATCCCAATCTAGAGACTCATGGGAGTAGCAACCAGCTGTGTGCATGTTGATGAGCAAATACTTCCAGTGCCAAGGTCACAGGTTGTGCATAGAAACTCAGTAGGGATGCATAAATGGGTGGAACATTCACTACTGTGAAGTTATACAAATAACCCCTTGCACATCCATGAAGTTGGATTTTTTTTCTACCTGCAGATTGGCTTTAGTGTAACCATTCTGTCTTTAATTATTGCTTTTTGCTCCATTTTTCTTGGATTTCTTTCAATAATTGATTTCACTAACAATTTATCTTAAAAACATCTGTTGTTTGCATTCAAGAAATGAGCACTGGGAACTTTCCATTATTTCACTCTTTTATGGCCTGATTAAGCTATAAGCTTTCTGTGCAATTAGAAGCAAGATAAATTAGAATGTTTAAAAAAAAAAAAACTACACATGACTGTTTCTTTAAAAAAAATTCTGCTATCCCATCCCTATCTCTTGATATGACAGCCAAGCAGCAATTGAGGGTTCAGAAAACACAAAGGTGCTGGGCCCAGAGGGATCCTCCGTCTTTCCCCACCCACACCAACTAAGAGAAGAAGAGGAGACTCTTAAGTACAACATCATCAGCTGAGACTAAATAGATGGAAAGAGCTAACTTTGCTTGCTGCAAGAAATCTTGGGACTCTGGGTTTCCCTGAAATTCTGAGCAGAAAGAAAAATGGATTGGACTGTTTCTGCTATGAACCCTCATCTTAGGTTCCACCTGTATAAATTAACCTTATAGGGTAGAAATGCTAACACTTTCTAGTGACCTGCTTCCAAGAAAATTTAATGCTAGGCAGCAGTGGCGTTCCTAAAAGTTTCCCTGCTCCTTCATCAATATACAGTGGTACCTCGGGTCACGAACGCTTCTGTTCACGAACAATTCGGTTCACAAACAGCACCATTCGCAAAATTTTGCTTCCGTTCACGAACTCCGCATT